AATACTTTGAGATCCTTATATGCAAAGTTATGTTATTAGACTGCATTGTTTTACCTGGATCTTTATCTGTGCCTGGGGAAGTCAGGAAGTGCTCAATGTATATGCACTTGGACAAATCACTAGCACGATCCCGTGATGCTGCGTGGCTGTCCGAGTGCGAGGTAGTTCTGTGGCTGCTACTGACCAGGCGTAGCGTGACCCGATCAGCAGAAGCACGTTTCCTGCTGGAGCCGTGCTGCCAAGGGGACTGAAAGTGCACAGATGCATGAGTTAACCTGAGGATCAGGCTGTGCCCTCTATAAACTCTTTAGGGAATAATTTGCAGGGAACGCTACAGACTTCTTCTATCTAAACCCCTCCCACAGCTTTCTTTGCAGCAGGGGACAATCACACATTTATTATCTTTATCAATATTTCTGCAGCAGTTGCACAATGTTGCTGAAGAGGCAAAACCCAATGCTGACGTTGTGCAGGGCTCTTTTTCTGGAGTTCATAATTTGTTTTGTTTTTCTACAAGCTTTTTACTTGTTTAATTATATTACCATAGCAAAAGAACTCTGCTTATGAATAGAAAACAAAAAGGTGTTAAAAACACTTCTTAGCAGATGTAAAATTACAAGCGTGCAGTTTCTTATTGCTTGGGAGTAGAAATTCAACAGGACCACTAGAACAAGGCAAACAAAATTAACTTAAAATTAAACATTGAAAGGAAAACTTAAACTAGCATCAACTTGAGAGCTTGCTCTTATTTCCTGCAGCATTCTTCTTATATTAGGGCCCTGACTTGTGTATCATTCAAACAGGGGAAGGTGCTGAAACTAGTGATAAGAAAGGAAAACTGTACATCAGTTTTACCCTCCAAATTGTAGAACAGCTCCATGAAGTTCAGCTGCAACAGTAAGTCTGCAGTGATTTTATATGGAAGGCACCCAAATCCAAAAAGGATGAGAGGCAGTACAGGACACAAAGGTTTTATACTCGAGTCCTATTGAAGTCAAGAATGACTTTTTTTTTTTTATTTTGTTCATTAAACCTTGCAGCAAAGTCAGTCATTTATCCGAGTTCCTAGAACCTGCTTTATTGATTTGAGAAGTAATATGCATGATGTCTGTCCAACATTATAATGTATAGACTATTACACAATATATGCCTTTTTGGGTTTTTAGCCAATTGAGGAGTGAAAGCTATCCCAGTTGTGACTGGTTAGAAGCTAGGCGTGGAATCTTCAAATTCCTTCAATTTTCAATTCCTTTGTCTTTCTGCTTCCACTGAAACGGACAGTAACATTCTCTAGAAATTCATGTCTTGTTTCTTCCTTATTTTGTATTCTCCAGTTCTCGTTTTATAATTTTTACACGCAACATTTTTATAATGTAATCTTGCGTTTGTCTCTTCCGTGTATTACCAACCTCATACTGTATACAAAATATTTTTAATTGACTATGTAACAATTAATAAAAATACCGTTCTTTAAAGAGAAATTCACACTCTAGGAAATTGTGGCAACAATTAAAATTTGTTTTTAAGAAAACTTAGAGAACATGATTGCTTATTCCCACTTGGGCCCCAGTACCACATTCTGTGAATAGTATAAACCCCCATTATAGAATACATTCACAAACACACACCAGGTGTGATAGAAAATATACCATTTTGCTTGAAGAGTCTCTCTGAGTTTAAAATTAGCACATTGATTATGAGATCATTTAAGACTACAGAATTGTCATGGTGAACAACTGAAAACATCTTGGCACAGTATGAAACGTTAAGTGATATTTATACAAACAATTAATGAGAGATTTCTGTGAATTCTCTTGAGATTGATGAAAGAAAAGCAATAACCTTGTTTGCTGGGGAGGGGGTTGCAGGTTGCAGCTTAAAAGCAGTTGATTTTCCTCCAAATTGCACTCTGACAAAAGATAAATCTTAGGGTAGATTTTTTTTTTTTTACATTTATGTAAAAAAGGTACTTTGTATTTAGAGTCTGTTTTATGCCACATTCAAAAATACATCAGTTATGTTAGGTAGCATGAACTGTTGATCTTAAAACTAGAATCAGTCTTATTGCACTCTTAAAATGCATTCTTATTATAAAGAAGGCTATTATTGTGAAAATGTTATTTCAGTTTGAATCACTGTTGTTTTGAATATTCATCAACACTTGCATAGTGTGTAAAATACATTAAGAAAGATGAAAGAAAAATATCCAAAATTAGAACAAATGAGATAATATAGGAGTTAGTGGACTAAGACAGTATATAGCTACTTAAAAGTAATCAGATACTTCATCCAAATCTTAAACAACAATTACAACAAATCCCTGGCCAAGTTAGGCTGAATGGTTCTCACCAGGATTTATGCAAGTCAAAAGTCTTAACTTAAATCTAGAAAATACAAATGAACTGCTCCAGACCAAATGAAGCCCAGGGACTCTAAGCTTTGAGCTGTTACCAAGTCTCTCCAGCTTGAGACCATTGAAGTCTTGTGTTTACAATGAATACAACAAGAGTTTTTGTTCTAGATTAGTTTTTTTGTTGTTTTTTTTACTTTATTTCAAAATGACTGACATTTAATTTCGAACTAAAGAGAACCCATGAAAACAAATCAATGTTAAAAAGAAACAAACTAGAAAAATTACTTATGCCATGAATTTAAAAAGCAAATAAGATATTATTTTATATTAAATGATATAAACTGCACATAAGTTTCTCTCTATATCCATATATATGCATGTGCACACACATACACATATCATTCTAAGTTACGTCCCAATTTGTAAATTAGTTATTTTTTTTCTTCGGGTGGGGGGGGGGGGGGGGGAGGTTGTTTTCTTCTTTTTGAGGACTTAATTTTATAGACAAAACATGCCAAAAAGTTGCTAATGTTGATTTGTTTTCACAGCCTGTCTAGTTAAAATTAAATGTCAATCATTTTGAAATTAAAAAAAAAAACCTCTCACTGCATTCATTGTAAATATGAGACTCTTCAGCAGTCCTGAGATGGAGACATTCAGTAACAGCTGCAAAACCCCAAATCTAAATATAAACTGTCTAGAACAGGGGTCAGCAATGTTTTTGGGCCAAGTGCCAAAAACACCTGCAGCCTTGACTTGAGATGTTAGCATGCCAGGAGTGGATGCCAGGGAGCCACAAAGGGCCCAATCCTTGTCATGGCAGTACAGCCATGGCCCCTTCTCTGCTGTCAGACCCGAGGTGCACGCATCAAGCAAAATGCCTTCGTGAGCTACACTGGCACCCATGCCAGGGGTTGCTTACCCTGGTCCAGAACCTCACAGGACCTGCAGATCCTGCAAAAGCCCATAGATATTATTATCTACGTTTGTATAACCCAGCCAGAGCTCCAAGACCCGAAGTGCAGCTCTTGTGTTGGGTACTGGTTGTTGTATCACCTTCATGTGCTCATATAGCCACTTCTATATTTGTGCATTGTGATGCCCAGAATTTAGATGAATCAGTGCATGCTCGTCTCACTAGGGGGCAGCAAAAACAAGGACTTCATTAGATGATCATGCTGATGTATGATGCAGGACTGGTCACTCGCCAGGAGTATGCACAAGTGTATGAGCCCCTTAACAAGCTGGAACCGCAAAGGGCAACATTTGGCTGCATGCCATCATTTAAATGGTAAGGTGAAAACAATAGAGAGCATACAACTAAAGAGAAGTAACCCAGCTGTCCAGCAAAGCAGTGTGGGATACTAATGAAAAGGACTCGGTAGATGTACTCAGCTCAAATGCTGTAATCTTAGTTGTAAGGTGCACGTGCATTTGTGCACTTCCTTTACACTCTGTGAATGTTATGCATGAGTATTTCTATGTGGATTTGGATGGCCCACATCTGGTTGTATGCAAGCAGCAATGGATTTTGCACACATACTTTTAGCAGGTTTGTATCTTTTACTGATCTATGCAGAGTATTTTAATTAAGCAGATAACTGGAAAAAAAACTTGAAAAGAACCTTTCTTTGATTTGTAAACAGCTCCAGGGCTGATTAAAATAATTAAACAAACACAGGCTAATGTTAAATAAGGACACTTAAAAAAAATTACATTTAATGGTATATGCCATTAAAAGGATATAAAAATAATAAGCATCTTAAGAGAAAAGGATATTGCATGCTCATGTTGAAACTGCACCTGTTGAAACCAAAGGAAAGACATTTTAAAATTCTTGTGGAGCACTGACCCCAATGTTAAAAGCCTGTGAAAACTATGCATTAAAAGATTCCTGATGAAAAATCCTAATTGCTGACATAAAAGTGTTAAAGTACATTTCCCAAAGCTTCACCAGTGCTCTAAGATTGAAAATAGCTGGCCGATTTCTTACCTAGCAAATATATGCTCATTAGTTGGTATGAATTTTTAATGCCACAAATGGACAATAATTCTGTAGAGCAGTGGTGTTCAACCTTCTTGCCCTGCGGGCTGGATGACTGGTACAGAGGTGAGGTCCAGAGTGCCAGCCTGAGCCCACATGCCAGATCCAGCTGCAGCCCAGCCGTTTACTGACCGGAATCTGGGCACCAAATCTGGCTGCGACCTGGCCCCACACACCAGCGCGTGTAGCTGCATTATCTGGCATGCAGGGCTCACTGTGGGTCTGAACATTTGGAGCCAGAGTGGTGGCAGTATTAATTGCCATGGCTCTAGAAGTGGTGGAAATTAACACTGCCACTGCTCCAAGGATTCAACCTGTGGGCTGAAGGTTGAGTACCACTGCTATAGTGCAAAATAAGGTCCATTGATTTCTCAACATTTTGCAGCAAACTAATTTTTCATTGAAATGAGAACATGGTTTATTCATTATTCAACATAGTGGTCATTAGATCATATTTGGTCATTAACTTTTCAAATTGGTATTTTACTGGCTGCCAGCTTAAAATCACATGATCTGTTTACAGACATACAGCACAATTTGGCACAGGCCAAAAAGGGAACCAGTATTCAAGCTTCATTATCTAAAGATACTGATCTAAATCCATACTTAGGCTTCCCTTTGTATGGATTTAGGCACAGCTAGCCTCATGTACCCATTGCTAAAGGAAGGAGGATTAAAAAAAAAAGTACTGTAGAAATCATAATTTTTAACTTGCAAACTGTGCCTATGGAATCGTGAAAGATAGGTAAGAGACTGAATGCATACATGATTGTGTATGTATATTCACAATCATGGTTTCTGTACACAGTAAGAGTATTGCACAAAAGTGTACCATTTAAACAAAATAACATAACTTCTATATATGGGTCTGTATAATTGCAATAATCAAACAAATGTGCCATGATTTAGGATTTCAGGTGCCAAGCGTGGAGGCCATGGAGCTGGAGAAAAAGGGTCCTTGATTTAAAAGTCTTGTCTGTTCTTCAGAAGCAGTTTATACACAAAAGCACAGCTGTCAGGGTGTATCCTGTCACAAAGCCGAGGATACCTTTGTGTAAAAATGTGATCTAGTGCTGCACAAGCAGCAGAAGTACAAGTGAAATCTTCTACCACATAATTTATCTGAAGGGCTGACACTAGCAATAAACTCTTGGATATTATTATTTATTGAGCCTAGCTGCTACTCACAGCTATAGAAATGGGGTGTAATGGGTAAAATCCCTGTAGGAGTCAAGTCAGAAAACATTAATACATTAAACAAATTTCTGATCTGTAGTGCTATGAGGAGCTTTTTAGGATTTCTTCATTTTTATGGAATATTATTGAATAGCTTCCCAGAAATCTTAAGACACAGCTGCAGCTATGGCTTTTAACATCTAGCAGTTTGGATGTGGACCAGCACTGAGAATATTAGAGACATGTCACCTAAGTGGCCTTAAGTCAATCCACATTTTAATATAGTTAACAGTAGAACAATAACTAAACGTTAAGAAATAATTTAATTTGATCACAGATACTTGATGGATCAGTACAGGGAGATGCAAAATCCTTTCCTCCGAAACATTCCAGTCTGCTCCATGGCACATTGAAAAGGATTCACCTATGCAGAGGGTAACAGCAGTAGCCTTTCGGCTTTTAGAAAGCTCTCCAACAAATTTGTGTGGAAGGCCTGCTTGCAACTAACTAGTAGATAGCCTGAGACCTGCCTCTGAAGAGTACTGGAGACTAAAGGAATTGTTGGCAGTTTGCAAAGACTCAGCACATTCTTGGTGGGCTACGTGCTGCTGGCTTCATCAGCACAGATCTGGGCATAAATGTTGCCTATAATTTTTAAATGTAAATGTGGCCAGACTTGTTTCCATCCACTTAGATTATATTTCACTAAGACACATGTATAATGGGATAAAGGCTGTTTAAAGAAGCAAATAGCAAACTCTCCCTGCCCAGATATACCCCAATGCTGGCCCAATGGCAAGAGAAAACTGAGCTATTTAAAGCAACACACGCGTGCGCCCTTCCCCCACAAACTTCAAGCTATTCTGTTGTCAGTCAGTGCTAGCACTGATAAGGAACACTGTGATAGCCTGACAGATTAGCTTACTTTTGAAGCAGAGCTTTTACTTTAAAAAAAAATCTTGAGAAAAATAAATATCTAGGGCTGTCAGTTGGGGGCTAAT